TATCTTGAAAGAAGTTGCTGTGGCCGATGTCAAAGAGGTTACTGCCTATGTTCTCCTCTAGGATTTTGATGGATTCCTGCCTCACATTGAGGTCTTTCATCCATTTTGAGTTTATCTTTGTGTGTGGTGTTAGAGAATGGTCGAGTTTCATTCTTCTGTATATAACTGTCCAATTTTCCCATCACCATTTGTTGCATATTTTTTCCTGCTTTATCGAAGATTATTTGACCATAGAGGTGAGGGTCCATATCTGGGCTCTCTATTCTTTTCCATTGGTCTATGTGTCTGTTTTTGTGCCAATACCATGCTGTCTTGGTGATCACTGCGTAATTCCCTTTTCTAAAGTACGTTCCCACTGGTCACTTTAATGGGACCTTCTTCCCCCACTTAGGATCTCAGGGCAGGTGACTTTTTGAAGTTGGTTGGCATCCTACCCCATAGCGTCTGGGTCTCCCAGTGGTGTCCTCTGGAGCTTTTAATAAACCCACCCCTGCCTCCCCCTATTAGTGGGAGAGGCCAGAGGCCACTTCTCGCCATGAGCTGACTCACACTAACTGTCCAGTCGATGCTTTTAGCCTCTGGTCAACAGTTGCCACCCCTCAGCCTTCTCTGAGCACGTTCAAATTTCACGGACCCCTGCCTTTTCCTCGGGTTGGCTCACCCGAAATCTTCTTTCACCAGCATTTTCAGTGTCTGCACCTGGCAACCAGCGATCACTCGGAAACCTACCAAAAGCAATTAAAGGCGTCTCTTCCTTCGCTTGGTGCATGTGTGTTGAGTGTCTGCCAGGTTATTCAGGCAGCTAGAAATGGTTTTTCACTGCAAGCTCACCTGGGGAAGGAAGGGAGAACAAATCCACAGATCATAACAGGACGGCATCAGGTTTATCAGCACCCAGCCCTGCCCCTGTGTGCCGTCCCCCTCCCGTCAGGCTCTGTTCCTGTGTGCAGCAAGGCTGAGCCCGGATCCACAACAGCACAGGGAATAGCTCCTGGTGCTTAAACTCTCCAGAAATGCAGCGGCGTAGGGACCACTCCCTTCTGGCAGGGTCCAAACTTCAGAATCAAGGGATGTGGCAGCAACTCCAAAGCGTTTTCTTAAAGACTCTCCCACCACACCTCCCACCCCCACCCGCACCCCCACCCCCAGGACGCTACATTTAATTTTTCCCTCCAGGAAATACACAAACTGACCTCTAACGATCACTGTTCGAAATGTCTCAGGTGGTGTGGATGCATGCAACTAGCTTTACCGGCTGTTGGGTTCCCCTCTCCTCCCCCAGATTTTCTCCCTCCCAGACAATTCCTGCTTCGCTCAGGTCCACGGGGGCACGTCGTGTGCAGCTGTGGCCACTTCCTCTTGTCCCAGCTCCACCTGTGCCCAACTCTTGTCTGCTCCTTTCCCGGGAAACTGAGTAACAGAAGCCTCCCTGTTCAGAACAACCCCTGGTGCCCCCCCACCCCAGCTTCCTCCACTCCGAGTGAGGGCATGTGTGTTCAGAGCAGAGCCATGCAGGACGGGGTGAACACCCCTTGTCCTGCTTTTAGCCTTGACCCGTAAAGGGAGGGTGTTGTACGCTTGCCAACACTGCTGAGAGAGAACAGACTGAGATAGAGGTTAAATTAGGTTTTCTCTGTGAGGAGTTTATTCCTTGAGTCTGCAGAATAGTTGGAGTCTGAAAATAAAGCACCCCATCAAATAAGATGAGGAGCACCTTGAAACCGCAGAGTGTTGTTGTCGTTGTTGTTGTTCTCCTTCCTAGCGCTTGACACAGCACTGGGCACATGGAAAACACTCAGTAAAGGCAGTGTGCCTCTCATGGCCAGGAGTCCTGGAGGTAGACGGAGCAGGCTTCGTCCCAGCCTTGCTACTCGCTAACTGAGTGGTGTTGGGCAACACGTGTGGCTGGCATGGATGTCCTTTTGGTAGTATGAGGGTTTATTCAGTCACTTGACAAATATTTATTAAAGCTTAGAGTAGCATTGGCAAACACACATAAAAAATGAATGATTTTGGAGATAAGTGAGGGTAGAGCTGATAGGACCTGTTGAAGGCGGCACACGGCCATTTTGGCATCACTGGTGTATGGTTGGCAGTTGAATGTTGGGATGAAGAGAGACTTCCCAGTGGTAGAGAATCCATGGAGAGGAGAAGAGGCCCAGGCTGAGCCCCGGGTGCAGCCCACCGCCAGAAATCAGGCAGAGAGGGAAACTGAGGAAGGGGATGGGAGGAGGGCACCAGGTAAGGCTGCCGAAAGACAGAGATGCCCACCGATGCTTTTAGGCTCATTTACCACCATGGGTTCAGCAAACACAAAGAAGGACATGAAAAACATTCAACAAGAGAATTTCTTGGGGAGCCTACATTTCAGTGAGACTTTTGTAAGCCTACAATAAGTTTTCAGTAGTAAGACAAGTTTCCAAATGGAAACTTGTTCTCAGCTCAAGACTGCCAGAGAGCCAGGCATTCACACCATTCCTGAGATGTCACTGGTTTCGCAGGAAGCCTCCCAGGTGCCATGAGCAGGGGTCTCATGCTCCTCACCTTCCCCAGCTGCTCTGCTCCCTCAGGAAGACCAGAGTCACAGTTTAGCTAAAATTTTCTAAGCTGAAAACAAAACAACCACCTGCCCCCCTAGCCATGGTCTACAGGGGGCTGCAAAGACCCTTGTGCTTCGATGGGGCATGTCCACGATGTTGGTTACGCCTCCCAAGCCCTGGTGTCCTCTGTGCTGATAAACCACTTTCACTTGAGGAAGAGGCTCAGTCCACGACATATTTGGGATTTGGAGATCGGCTTTCACAGCTGGAATCAGAAGTTCCAACCTAACATGTCCTTTGTGCCCCCTGTCTCCACTTCCCATTCCCATGTGGGATACTCATGGATCAAGAAAAAGAGGCTTCTCAAAATGACAGACTCAAAGTCTTGGGAAAATCTGGTTGGTTCAGATTTTTTTTTCTCTTTTTGCCCTTCTTTGTGTAGACCAATGACTTGGGAGAAATGAGGTGGTTTTGACACAGGAGTGCCCTTTTCAAGAAGCAAGCTTGCAGGAGACATAAAATGGGAGATGAGTGATTTATGACAGGTGACCAGAAAGAAAGGACACTCTGCCTTGCCTGGCTTTGGACTGGTTTACTTACACAGTCACACCTCCCATAGGCCTCTCTGTGTGTTTTTAAAGCATATCGGTACTTAAAAGATGAAAACTGGGTAGAAGATAAGCTTGGGAAAGACCCTGAGTAAAAAGCTGTCACCACCCTCCACCCCCTGGTGTTTTTGGCCCCACGGGCGGCAGGCGGTCTGATCAGGGTGAGTGTGTTAGTAGGGCGCTCTGCGTAGTCCTTCTGGATGGAAGATCAGCTGAGCAGTAGAGAAAAGAGAAGCACTTGGCCATGACTTGCAAGGGGAGGGACAAATCGCAATGGCATTACAGACTGTGTGAAATCCCCGCAGTGAGAAGACGTGGGTTTATGCACGGGCTTCCGGGGGAAACAGGGTAAGAGTGCCCAGTGCCGGCCCTTGGGTGTCCGCAGGGCACCAGGCCAGTGTATGCAGGGGGGGCCTGGCCCCAGCTCCTGGCTCCGCTGCTCCTGAGCAGTCTCTCCTCTCTCTCGGACTCAGTTTGCTCCTCTAGAAAATAGGGCCACATCATTTTCCTCCTAGAAATGGCTGAAGGCTAGAGGTATTATTAAGGTATGCGACTTCTCTTGACAAACTACAAAACACTGTGTACTTTTAAAAATGCTCTCCCAGACATTATTTAATCCCACAACAAGTCTATAAGAGCATCTTCGTTTTACAGGTAACTTAGCTGAGAACTGCAGACTAAAAAACCCAGTTTGTTACGTTGGACATGAAGATCACAGTTCAATTTTTAAAATATCAATTTTCCTACAACTATTGAAGTAGTGGAGACATTCCTTGGGAAACCGTTGTTACGGGATGGGAGAACAAGGGATGATCCCTCTGTCCTGGCACCCCTGTGACCTCTGTCTATGACTACTCACACACACACACACACACACGCACGCACGCACGCACGCACGCATGCAAGACGGAAGACAGTTCTGTGAATCTCAGAGGCTTTTACAAAAGAGGGAAATCTTTACTTTTCTCATTGTAATGAGAATTTGAGTTCCCATTTCTTTAAGTTGCTGTTTGAGAAGAAGGTGCGTCCCTCATTTTTTCAAAACAGCTAAGTTCTGTTGAAAGAATGATTCTGTTCTTGAAACGTCTTCATGTTAAGCATTTCTCTGAGTGGTGCATTTGGAAACACGCTAGGATGTGAGTCTGTGATACAGTTTGACCATGAACAGCACAGGCCCGGACTATGTGGGGCCGCTGATACGTGGGTAGACAGCACAGTGCTGTGAACTTATTTTCTTTTCCTTATGATTTTCTTCATAACATTTTCTTTGCTCTAGCTTACTTTATTGCCAAAGTAGAGTATATAATACATATAATGTATAAACTGTGTGTTACTCGACTGTGTTCGTGATCGGCGAGGCTTCCAAGCGACAGATGGCTATCAGTAGTTACGTTTCGGGGGAGTCAAAGTTAGATGGGGTTTTCAGCTGTGGGGAGGTCGGCACCCCAGCCCCTGCACCCGTTCAAGGGTCAACTGTGTTGTCAGAGTATTGGGGAGCAGGGAGGGGCTCCCTCAAGTAAAAAAACATTCTATTAACTGATTTCCATTTTTTTTTTCTGCCTCTCATTTCAGAACGGTTTGATCACCACTGTCCCTGGGTAGGCAACTGTGTGGGGAAAAGAAACTACAGATTTTTTTATATGTTTATTTTATCTCTGTCTTTTCTGACAGTCTTTATATTTGCATTCGTTATCACCCACGTCATTCTTCGTAAGTATGCTGGCGAAATCAGATTACGTATGTAACCATTTGCCTGCCTTTGGTTTTCTGATTTAATTTTGAGTTAATATTTTGATCATTTCGGGCTTTCTCTTTCTTCTCTTTTCCCTCTTCCTGTTCCTCTCCTCACTTCCAGCCTGCCCCCTTCGTGTACTCCCCTTTCTCCCTCCCTGTCATCCCTCCCTCTCCTTCCTCCCTCCCTGCCCTCCCTCTCTGTCACCCCCCGCAACCTCCTTCTCTGCCCTTCTCCCTGCCTTCCACCCCCTTGCTCCTTCGACTCCCCATTTCTCATCCTTCCAGCCACAGCAGCCAGATCACCCCAGATCAGGCTCTCTTTCACTTGCCCCTGTTCCAACCTCAGGGACCTCAGTTTCTCTTTGGCTAAGGGATCCCCTGGAAGAATCATTCCCACATTTTGCACAAAGGATAATGTGCTGCAATGATAACCATCAAACAGTAGTTTTGTTTTGCTTTTAACATGATACTGGCTTATGTAAGAACAGTCACCATCCCTAGAAAACAATGTCTGGGGATAAAGACACACACACACACATTAAAGATATACAATCGAAAAGATTTCCAATCATCTGCTAAACATTAGTAAATCCCTGGCATATGAAGGAAGCAACTTTATTAAAAATGAGATTTGGATATTAAGGATTTTAAGTATTTGCCTAAGCAAATGACATTTTTCATTTCCCATTCTGAAGGTCATAACTTTGAATTTCTTTTTTTCTCTTGGTTATCCACTTTCCAGCAACAGGGAATGATCAGAAGGAAGTGAATTGGCTTTGAACTATAAACTTACGCCTTTAAATGTCCATTCCAGTGCCCTTAGCAACATTAAAGCCCAGCAGGGCCTCTTGTCCACATTCTAGAAGTACAACCGCCCATTAGCAATTGCGGAGCTCCCTTCTGCAATGTTTCTGGCAGCATCTGAACACGGCCTCACTTTCTCCCCGTGAGGCAGCGCTGAAACCACAGATGATGTGCTAAGGCTGGAGTTACTCTCTGCCTCTCTTTTGGGGGGCTGGGGGGACCTGGGGCAAGGAGGCGGTATGGAGAATTTCCCATAGATATATTGGTCAAATTTGGATATTAAGTGGAATCTCCCAAATTTTCATGGCATTTTAAAACTTAGGTCCCTTCTTTTTGGCTGAAATCATGCCAACATGATGCAAGCTTGGAATCTATGCTTGAAATTCAAGACTCCATGCGATCCCAAGAAGAAGACTGTTCGTTAGGGGCCCTTTCCACACTCCCCGTGGCCCTGCAGAGGCACCTCTTCCCTCTAATTTCAGAGTTGAAAAATGGCGAAAAAGCAGCCAGGGTCCCCTCTGCGTATTAATAGGCAAAAGAATCAGAAACGAGAAGAAATAAACACCGAGACTGCAGCACATTTAGGACATTAAAAAATAGTATTTAAACGTGACATTTTTAGATCATCTTTAGCAACTTCAGAATGCTTTCCTGTATGTGTTATCGAAGTGTATTTATGGCCTTGCCCCTGCATCCTGGACATCAAGGGCTGGTTTTGGCTTGCACACCTGCACACGTGAGCTCTGGCAACACACACACAGACACACACGCTCACTGTGAAGCCAGCCACTGCCATCACAGTTGGATGATGTACACTTCACTTTTATCTCCCCTTAAGTTTTACTCACCCCAGTTCCAGCAAAATCGAGTTTGCTGTAGTTTATGCTAATATATTGTTAATCTCATCTTCCACAAAGAAAAGCATTCAGAATTTATCTGCTTGCAAATTACCCGAATATGTTGAACAAAAGCAAATAAGGATTTTCCTCTCCCCTTGTTCTGCACCCCCCACAACCCCCACTAAACAACCCCCACCTACCCCCCCGACTTGGTTTGGCACTCAATGCTCTCAGGAAGGGCAGGTTTTTACATGGCTCCCGTGGTCCCCTAAGATTCTGAAAACATTGGCCAAGGCTGTTTGAGAGCAGCCGGAGAACTGTCACCTGAGTTCTCCCTGCCAGGTAACAGGCTCCAGGGAGGTTGGGGGGCCATGACAGGAAGGGGGGCCGGGGCAGAATCCTGTTGTAGCAAAGATTCTGAGGAACCTGACAGCTGGAACTCCTTATCAAGAATGGAAAGTTTGGGAAAGCGAACCAGTTTAGGTTCAGTAGGGAAAAAGAAGTCATTTCTTTTAGTGTCCTCATTTTGCCTCAAGAGTGTGTTTGCTCTAAGATCTGCCCCAGCCCACTTGCTGGTTTTGCCCCCTGACCTAGCAGAAGCAGAAGAGAAAGCCTTAAGCTTTCCTTATTCATTTTCCCACCCTTTGGCATCCTAGTACCGGGCATATCCTTGTGCCTCAGTGGTGGCCAGTGGGGGAGACAGCACAGAGGGAATGGGACCTTGAGGACAAATGCTCAGCCCTTACATGGCCGGACCCGGTTCCCACTTACACAGAAGGGTCCGGGACCCTGCCTCTAACTGCCCCGTCTGGCCACAGCAGCCCAGAACGCCGAATCCATCCTCCCTGTTCCTCCCGTTGCTGCTCCAGGCCAGATTACGTCCCCCAAACACACAGCTTCACGCCGCACGGCAGGAACCCCCCCCGGATGGGAGCACCAGCATTCCCTCCACATGGGCTTTTATGTTTAAAAACCATGATGTCAACACATAAAAGAAAAATTGCTTCTTGTCAGATGCATCTTTACTCAAGCTCCTAAAGAATTTTTTTTTTTTTGCACAAACAATTCACTCCTAAAGTAGTGAGTAATAAACTCCAACTTTATGAGTTTGTTTACTCTGGGTGCAGATAAATACGTCTTTTATACGTAGCCTAGTTTATAGGATGTCCTAGGTCAACAGTTAACAAACTTTGGAAAAACAGTCTTTCATAAGCGAAGAGGAAAAAATAGCATACAGTATTCTGTTTTCCTATTAAAATGAGGAAAACAAAGGAGTAATCAGAACTATAATTTATGGGAAAGTATGCAGACATCCATCTGCTTTTATTGAAAAAATATCCTGCAGATGTTGGGTCTAATTATGAATCTGCCATTTTCTTGTTGAATAACTTTAGTGGAATCTCAATCCCTGATCAGCAAACTGGGAGCCGTAGCACAACAAAATATAATTATTTAATTGATCTTTAGACACCTATTATTCTTATGTAGATGAGGGAGCTTTCAGCATGAGGGCTGTTTCTCTGGAGGTGAATGTTTGAATACTAAATTTTGGTTTCATTCCCACAGGTTCACAACAGACAGGATTCCTAAACGCACTTAAGGACAGTCCTGCAAGATATCCTTTGGGGTTGCCCTGTTTTCCACGATGCTAACGTGTTAAGTATTGGACTGACCTTCTATTCAACTACCCCTTCCTCCGTGCCTTGGCTTTTCTTCTCCGAAATCATATTCTCCCTTCATTCCATCCAAAAAACTCCCTATGTTTATGCGCATGAGTAGTAATGTCTGAATGCTTGAACCTGGACATGACTCGTTTAGCCATATTTAAGTTGAAGTGCTCTTTAGCTAGAAAGCCAAGTGTGAATTCTTGTTCACCCCAGAAACCTGCATTGATCCGTGTTAAATCAGATTGGTTTGGGGAGAAGGAGGGTTTGCAAGGTCCAGTGGACTTCATTTTGATGAGCAGGTGGTCCCAACAGAGTATTTATCTTTGCCCCAGTGTGGGTGGCCTTATCACTGTGAGGTCACCTGATGGGAATCATCTGACGCCCTCTGTAGATTCCTTCTGGGAGTGCCATTAGGCACACCTTCAGGCAGTCCAGATAACCTATATTATTTCCAGGAACAGAATACCTTTTCATGATCTTCAATGGACTAACTTAACAATGGTCAATCTCAAATTCTTTGGATTAATCCCATCCTGCCAAACAGTTTATATGGGCATGTGCCATAGAATTTTGAACTTCTTGAAAGAAAAATGTTCACCCATGATGTGCTTGAACGGGCTCCCCACCTCAGCTGTCCCCCTAGGTTTCACGTTCATTAGTGTAGGGTGGGCCCACTGGACCCACTGACCCGGCTCCATCTGGGACCGGCTCTCTTTCTTCTTCATATAACCAAGTAGGCTGGACTAGAACTTCTCATTACTCCCAAAAGTAATCTTCATCTTGTGGTAGAGAATTCTTAAACAATGAATGAAGAACTTTGCTAAGATATACATATCATTTACATCATTTAGTTATAAAGATAAGCCGGCTCGTGTCCCTAGGAGCGTGGGGGGGGGGGAGGGGCTTATTAAGATATTTGAAAACAAATGTGGTCCTGTATATATTTTCGTTCTATAAAGTATCTCCACTTTGGTGCTTCTGTGTTTATAGCACAGAATGTTGGTCGAAAGTACAGATTCTTTAGTCAACTGATCTCCTAAAAAGGGGACGGGGACATATGGAAGATACACAGAGAGGACTTGAAGAATATATTTTACAGGGATGTCCTGTCTTCTCTGAAGGAATCTAGGAGGCAGGAGTTGGCTAGAAGTTACCCAGAAGGAAAGGTGGTCCTGAGAACGAAATTGTCAATGTCCGTGGCTGCTAAGAACAGGTCCCATGGGAAGTGTCATTCTTCGTCCCTCTCCCCAGTGCTGTCAGCACTGACACCCTCCGCCATCATTTCCTCTGCGCCCTTCTATTTTCAGGACATGTTGCTTGGGCACATCTTATAGTCAAGCCTTGTCATTTCTTCCCAGAAGAAGAGGCTCGTCTGTCTTTCAGGAAATTGGTTACATCATGAAAACATGCTGGTCATGGGAAGTTTTATAAATGCACATTAGAACCGGAACTGAGGTCTGGGCTGCGAGCTAGTATGCTTTCTGAGGCCTCAAGAGGGTTGCAGCCTAAGCCACCGCCCCTCCTCTGTCCCTGGCACCTGTGACTTCCCAGACAGCCTATGTCTGTACAGGATGCCCGTGGAGCTTTTCAGACAATGAACGGGCATCCGTGACAGGGACTCCTCTCCGTGGGGAGGGGAGGCGAAAGCCTGACCTGAGACCTGGGGGATCTCAGCGGCTCCATTCCCTGGGGACAGCAGACCCCCCCCGCCCATTCCCTGGGGCTCACCTCTGTGCCACCTGTGGGCACAGCACTCCTTGTGCATGGGTCTTCCGGGTATCTATTCCAGACCTCCCAACTCATGGATCTTATCGGATCATAAGGAAGGACCAGGTAGTGAGTTCTGGATTCCTGCTTACCCTCACAATTTTAGGAGGTCTGAGGTCATTTCTTTCAACCCTTTTGTGTCTCAAGTTTTGACCTGCAAGAGTCAGCCATTCCGTACTTGACATGCTAGGGTGACAAAGTCAATTATATGGAATATAAGTGAGAACACCCAGCACCAAAGCATCGTTTACGTGCATGACAGGAGTGATTTCGAAGAAGATTCTTTTTGTGGCAAGATGTGCAACAGACGGTCTCTGCCAGAACATTCTCTTCGAGTACACACGTCTGCTCATTCTCATGATTTGGCTGTGCTCATGGTGTGTATAATCAAGAGCATTGTGTTCCCCAGGAAGGGGAACAGACCAGTGTTGCTGGTAGAATGAGCAGCCTGCTGACTTTGCTGGAGAAACCGTTCACGTGGAAAGGAGAGGAGAGAGAGAAATGCTCTTACCAGGTTCCGAGCAATTTTTAGCTTATTTTCCCTCGAAATAGTATTCTCAGGTAGAGGTAAAGAGTCTTTGCTATGGCCCAGATTTGAAAACGCACAAGAATCTCAGCCACTGGCTTTCCAAATGGTGTTGCCGTATGTAGGTGCTGAGGTTTGTTCTCTTTGTGGGTGTCACCCAGGCATGTCCTCCACGCTCAGGAGCTTGGCAGCCACATGACCCCGTCAGAGCCAGTGGCGACCACAGCCCGCTCTGTAAGTGCATGAGGCCAGCATGCGCCTGGCTGTATTTTGGAGGCTTCAAGCAACATAAATTCATTGCCGTGCAGTTCTATAGGTCAGAAGTCCAGCAGGCTTGGCTCATTTCTGCTCTGGGACCCGCAGTGCTGAAATCAACATATCACCAGCCTAGACTCTTATCCAGAAGCTCCGGGGAGAACCCTCTCTTCGGCTCATTTGGGGGGTTGACCATGTCCGTGGGATGTAGGATGAAGGCCCCTTTCTTTGTTCCATTCTCTGACTCGTGACTTCCTTGCTCTTCAGAGCGAGCAACAGCGGGTCAGGTCCCTCCCACACTTTGAAGCTCTCCTGCCTCTCTCCCGCCCATCTCTCTGACCTCAGCCAGAAAGGCTCGCTGCTTTTGAAGAGTGGCCGCAACCTGAAAACTCAGGATAATCTGCCCATCTCAAGGTCTTGACCTTCAGTCTGCAACTCCCTTTTGCCATGTAGGTAATGGAGTCACAGCTGCCAAGGATTAGGACATCTTTGGGGAGGCTACCGTCCTGTCAGCCCCACAGGCCTTTGGGGAGGAAGTACCCTGGAATCAGGCACTCAAGTGCAGGTGGATTTGAGAGGATTTCTTTCTGGACCCATCCATGAAGCTCTGTAGTGGTCCGGCTCGCTTCTGAGTCTATGTCTGCCCTCCCTTCCTTTGCTGCCCTTTGTGTCACTCTAGGAGAGAGAGGGTGGGAGATAAAAGTTGTGATGAGTTAGAATCTATGTATACACACATATGTGTGGTGTGCGTGTGTGTCTACGTGGGTATCCTCTCCTGAGGCCGGATTTTGTGGCACCTCTTGATCCACTGTAAAAAGGTGACCTAGAGCTGAAGCCAGAACATCCCAGGGCAGCTACCACAGCTGACGTAAAGACTGTCTGATGTTTTCCCAGAGAAAATCAGGGACCAAGAGCAGGACCCCGGGGGAACGTGAGGGCACAACAGGCCAGTGGGGAAGAGATGGGCAGGGAGATGACAGGAGCCATCTTAGCAGCTGTCCCAACCTGCATCTTCTTTACTCTTTCTGGAAGCAGTGGAGAAGTTCAGGAACATCAGACTTACCCATACCAAAAAGTGAGGTGCTGGGTTTTTTAATTGCAAAGAACATAAACTGTTGGATGTGCCACTGAACAACCCCCCCCCCCCAATCGGTACGACTTACCTACAGGCTCTCTGTGCTGTCGGAGTCTTCTCTGTTTTAAATACTTGCTTTGGAGAAGAATCCCTCCTTCTATTCAGTGAAGCTGTTAGGAAGTGCTGAGGTCTGATGATTTATCATGAATTGGTATTCCAGGAGAGAAAGTATGCCTTAGGTTCTATGAGGTTGGGATGTGTTTTTGAAAAAATATTAAGTTCTGGTTATGAGTGATAATATATGTGTGGTAAGTCAGGCTGGATCCTATTCAGATACCTGTTCAGTATTTCTGGCTCCTGCCTTTCCTGTGGACACCTGTGTGGCTTTGGAAGTGGCATGGGGACAGCCAGGCCGTGCGGGTGAGGGGCCGTTTTCAGCTCACAGAGAAAGGTGTGCTCACCACTGGGGCAGCTCGGAAACAACGTGGCCTGGGGCAGCAGTGACCAGGGGTGGTCACAGGGACCAGGGGTGGTCCGAAAGACAGTGGGTCGTGCCTGCCGGTGTGGGAGGAGGTTCTAGCCTCAGATCATGTTCGTACCTCCAAGCTCCTTTCCATCACTGAGGCCCTGGGAGTTTGGGAGTCTCTTAGGAGGTGGTCGATTTCTGATGGATGAGACGGATCTGTGACATTTCACACTCATGGAAACTTCCCTGGCTGCTGGCCCTGCTGCCCCAGCTTGTCCTCTCCAGCCCTGCAGTCTGTGTAGAGCGAGAGTCTGTCCTGCACCAAATTCTTAAAACGAGGTTTTCTGGGGAGTTGCCTGAGCACAGGACTGGAGTCCCATGTGGCTCTGCACGTGACCCGGCCAAGTGTTCTCGGGCAAGAAAATAACTCAAATTTAAAATTTTTCAGTGGCCTCCAATCTGATCTCCTGACCATGACATCAGAATATCCTGATGAGAAATCTCACGGCACAGGCAAAGGTTTTTTCTCTCAGTGGATTTACTTCAAAAGATCTAACCAAGAGCCATGTCGTTGATGAAATGAGAGAAATGAGAAACACAGGGCTAATTAACAATGAACCGGGACACCTTATCAGAGATACTGACACGAATGAGGGAAACACCGACCCCCTGAAGCTTCTGATTGGGCCCATGTGACCGCAGCAAGCCCGCAGGAGAAAGGAATCCACCTGCTCCCTTAGTAAGTGGCGTGGACCGGATGGCGTCTAGTTTGAGTGCGACAGAGCCCTGGGCGGAGGAGGAGGAGGAGGAAGAGGAGGACGGGGAGGGCAGAGGCCCCTCCCCAGCCCGCACCACGGCC